TGTTAGTTGTTGCTGAATAAAGGCAGCCACATCAGCTTCATCCATTTTGTTCTTTCTCCTCCAAAGCTTGCTCAAAATTCTCTTGAGGGTTCAACTGCTAATTCTGAATCCATGTACCTTTTTTAACATTGACAAAATTTCAGTATTTGTTTTATTTAAGTATTAAGTATTGCTCAACATGGCTGAGAAACATCTGGATGGTAACCACAGTCATAGGGATCTCACAAGTGCTCCAAATAACCTTTTCAGTATAATCTTATAAAATGTATGAGAAAAATTGTTATTATTATGAGATATTACATCATTATTATGAGAAAGTTCTCTCATTATTTTAAGATACTATGCCAGAATTATGAGAAAATTTCTTCTTATTTTAAGATACTAAGTCATTATTATGAGAAAACTTCTCATTATTTTAAGATACTAAGTCATTATTATGAGAATAATTCTTATCTTAAGATACTAAATCATTATAAAAAAGTTTCTTGTTATTTTAAGATACTATGTCATCATTATGAGAAAATTACTCATTAATTTAAGATACTAGGTCATTATTATGAGAAGCTTTCTTGTTATATTGAGATATTATGTCATTATTATGAGATTATTATAAGTTTCGTATTTTTATGACTTATTTTTTATTTACATGGCAGAAATGGGTTTCCATATAGGGTGATGTTTTATGTTAGCCAGAACATCTTGCCACCAGTATGTTGCAGATAAAACCAGCCATGTGGTCTTCAGTTAATCACAATGAAAGGAAACAATTTAGAGGTTTATCCTGTGATTTGTACTTTTTGTGTTTTACTTTCAGTGGGTTTTTGCAGCATTATAGATGTAAGAACAATGTTACCCAGCTTAAGAAGGGATGCTTTTCCTGGCAGTTGGCCAGCCCTAAAATTTTCGTATATGTTGTTTTTTATTTTTATAAAAACTATATATATTTAATCACTACTTAACCTGCTGGCTTGTCCTGCTCCGTCCTCCCTGACTGCTGAAGACTTTGCCACCTTTTATGATGGGAAGATTGAAAAAAATCTGACAGACTTTCATTCCTACCCCAACTCTTACACTACACACTCAGGATTCCCCTTCCCCTTCACTGGCACAGTTTTCTAATCTAGCAACAGAAGAGATCCTGAAAGTTATCCTGTCCTGCAACCCTACCACCTGCCTATTGGATCCAATCCCTTCCACAATGCTCCAGACCATCTCACAAGACCTCCTCCCCTTCATCACCACTATCATCAATGGCTCCATAACATCTGGTCATGTACCAGCTGCATTCAAGAGAGCAAGAGTCTGATGAGGAAGAGGGAGGGGCCAGGCTGTGAGGACGCACGCCTGGCACTGAGTTGGCTAATCAGTGGGAGAGAAGGATAAAGGAGCGGCTGGAGACGCCAAGGGAGAGAAAGAGATCCATACATGTTTTATATTTGCCTTACTTTTGTGTTTTACATTCTGTTTATGATTAAAGTTTACATTTGAGTTCACTAGGTTCCTGCCTCCTCCTTACCCATCTGTGAAGTTTCTTACAAAGAGTTATTCCCATCCCGAAGAAACCCACTCTGGATCCCTCAGCCATCAGCAACTACCGACCAGTATCACTTCTCTCTTTTCTTTCTAAAATTGAAAGCACTCTCTACAATCAACTGTCTCTTTATTTCTCACAATCTCCAAGATCCTAACCGGTCTGGCTTCAAAGCAGCACATTCCACAGAGACTGACCTTTTGACCATCACTGAGAAGCTACATGCTGCTAGATCAGACAAACTGTTATCAGTCCTCAGCCTCCTTGACCTTTCAGCAGTGTTTGACACAGTAAACCACAAGACTCTCTTGTTCACCCTCATGAGTTTTCGAATTCGTGGCAATGGTTTGCTTCCTACCTGGAAGGTCGGTCATATCAGGTGACGTGGACGGGATCCACCTCTGCTCTGCGCAGACTCTCCACTGGTGTCCCACAAGGCTCATTAATTGGTCCTTTTCTGTTCTCCCTCTATACTCAATCTCTTGGTGAGGTCTTGTCCTCACATGGGTTTTCATACCACTGCTATGCGGCTGACACTTAACTCATCCTCTCCTTCCCTCCCTCAGACACTCATGTTTCCTCTCAGATCTCAGCATGTCTGGAAGACATCTCATCATGGATAGCAGCTCATCAGCTGAAACTTAATCCCAGCCCAAACTGAAGTTCTGTTCATCCCAGCTGATTCATCCCCATGTCAGGTTCTTACGATCTCCCTGGACAACTCTCTGATCTCACCTTCGGCCACTGCATGCAACCTTAGGGTAACCATGGACAATCAACTGTCCTTTTCCTCTCACACACGCTCATGTTGATTTCTCCTTTATAACATCAGAAGGATTCGTCCATTTATATCCATACAGGCTACTCAGGTGTTTGTTCAGTCCCGAGTCATTTAGAGACTGCACTACTGCCACTAACACCTGGCAGGTCATCCTCTGAGCGTTATTCGACTTCTGCAGATGATCCAGAATGCAGCTGTGCGGCTCATTTTCAACCTTCCTAAGTTCTCCCACACCACCCCATTGCTATGCTCCTTCCACTGGCTTCCTATAGCTGCCCACATCAGATTTAAAACACTGATGCTTGCCTACGAAGCCAAAAATGGACCAGCACCCACTTACCTCAAAGCACCTATCACACCCTGCACTGCACCACACTCCATCCGGTCCTCTAGCACTGCTCGACTTGTCTCACCATCTCTCTGGGTACAAGGAAGACATGCATCAAGACTCCTCTGTTCTGGTACCTAGGTGGCAGAATGAACGTCCCTTAGATGTCCAAACAGCTGAGTCACTGGCAGGCTTCAAACAACATCTAAAGACCTCTTCCTGAAGTACTTAAATTAGCACTTTGTAACATTATGGTAACATTGGTAACACTTAAAGTTGTCTTCATATACATTAGTTAACACATACAGTAGGCAACATGAACTAACAGTGAATAATACAGCATGTGTTAGGCTAATTTTGGTAAATGTTCATTTCATTTCAAGTTGTATAAGTTAACATTAGTTAATGATTGTGAACTAAACAATAGTTAAAGATTGTGAACAAAACAATACTAGTAAATTAACATTAATTATGATTAAGAAATGCTGTACTAAAACTTGGAACAATTTTTGTGTGAACTATCTTTTTATTTACAAACAAGTAAAAAGTGTGCTGTGGGCACCTAAAATAGCCTAGTATTTTAAGATTGAACATATTTTTTTAATTTTTTTTTATTATTTTACATGTTTGTATAATGATATTTTCTGTGCCACCTCAGAGTGACTGCTGGCCCCTGACTGGCCACCCGGGAAAAAATTCCTGGCTCGACCACTGCTGCCTTTGTGCAGTTACGTTATCAGGGAGCAGCAATATAGAACAATATAGAACAATATAGAACATTACAACCCTGCTCAGCCATTGCAGTGTGTCTGCTATAGTGTGCACAGAATAACCCTTCCTTTTTTATATGGTTTTATTTCTTTTGTCTTAATTGAATGGCTAGCCTTATTTGTCTTAATTTTTGGATTCATTTTGGCTTACTTTAATTACTTATTAATATAGTTTCATTGTTTGATATTTCTTTCCATGCCCATACACTCATTGGGCCCTCCCAAAAACATGCCAGTAGGTGGACTGACAAATAACGTGTCTGTATGTCTGAATGAGTGTGCAAAGAGTTAACTGTCAATAGAAAATGGAAAAAATGTAGTGTGTCTATTTGTGTACATTATATACAAGACTCCATGTGGGTCCCTGGTGGTCTAGTGGCTAAGGATCCTATGCTCTCACTGCCATGGCCTGGGTTTGATTCCCAGCCAGGGGACCAACCCAGCCACTGGGAGTGTACTCTCAAGCCAGGGTAAAATGGGAGGGTTGCATCAGGAAGGGCATAAAACCTGTGCCAAATCAAATATGTGGACCAATGATCAGCTGTGGAGACCCCTAACATGAGCAGCCAAAAGAAGAACAACAACAATGTATACAAGACTCAGTGCAGTGTCATCATGCTGAATTAAAACTGAGTACTTCTCTACCTAGTAATTGAACACATACAGGCACTCCCAAACATAACATGGTGTTGACAGTACAAGACCTGGCAAACATGTTTATATATGGCAAAAAATAAAAATATTATGCACCAGGTATATAGTATAATGCAGCAGAAAATGCAAAATTAGAAGGCAAAGACATTTAACATCCAGGTGACATTCCATGTATCCATGTCATTTAACATCCTTGTTTTATGGAGTGAAACTTCATGTCATAAAAGCAAAACAGATTATATATATAACATATATATATATATATATAACAGTGGCACTCGTCGAGGGCTGGGATATATTAGGCAGCAAGTGAACAGTCAGTTCTTGATGTTGATGTGCTGGAAGCAGGAAAAATGCTCAAGTGTAAGGATCGGAGCGACTTTGACAAGGGCCAAATTGTGATGGCTAGACGACTGGGTCAGAGCATCTCCAAAACGGCAGGTGTTGTGGGGTGTTCCCTGTATGCAGTGGTTAGTACCTACCAAAAGTGGTCTAAAGAAGGACAACCGGTGAACCGGCGACAGGGCCATAGACACCCAAGGTTCACTGATGCGCGTGGGAAGAGAAGGCTAGCCTATTTGGTCTGATCCCACAGAAGATCTACTATAGCACAAATTGCTGAAAAAGTTAATGTTGACTCTGTTAGAAAGGTGTCAGAACACATACTGTATTGCAGCTTGCTGTGTATGGGGCTGTGTAGTCGCAGACTGGTCAGAGTGCCCTGGTGACCCCTGTCCACTGCCTAAAGCGCCTACAATGAGCACGTGAGCTTCAGAACTGAACCATGGAGCAATGGAAGAAGGTGGCCTGGTCTGATGAATCACGTTTTTCGTTTACGTCATGTGGATGGTCAGGTGTGTGTGCGTCACTTACCTGGGAAAAAGTTGGCACCATGTTGCACTATGGGAAGAAGGCAAGCCAGCAGAGGAAATCTGATGCTCTGGGCAATGTTCTGCTGGGAACCTTGGGTCCTGGCATTTATGTGGATGTTACTTTGACACATACCACCTACCTAAACATGGCCTTCATGGCAACGGTATTCCCTAATGGCAGTGGCCTCTTTCACACTGCAAAATTTGTTCAAGAATGGTTTGAGGAACATGACAAAGTGTTCAAGGTGTTGACGTGGCCTCCAAATTCCCCAGATCTCAATCTGATTGAGTATCTGTGGGATGCGCTGGACAAACAGGTCCGATCCATTACGGACCCACCTCGCAACTTACAGGACTTAAAGGATCTGCTGCTAACATCTTGGTGCTAGATACCATGGCACACCTTCAGAGGTTTTGTGGAGTCCATGCCTAAACGGGTCAGAGTTGTTTTGGCAGCACAAGTGGGACCTACACAATATTAGGCAGGTTGTTTAATGTTATGGCTGATTTGTGTATATAAAATCACTTTGATTATGAGCATAATCCACATCAGTCTCTAGTCTTGTCACTTGAGGTAAATGTCACTTGGGGCATGAACCTCATCATCATTCATATAACTGACCACCTTCTGCTCTTACATCAGTGCTAAAATAATCACTGATTAATTCAATGAGTTCTGTTCTGTAGAGTTTTTTTATTATGTTATTCAAACATTTGTCCACTGTCATCTAATCAGAGAGCATAAGCATTGATTAGGTTTATTTCTATTTCACTGTGGCAAATAATTTTCCAATAACTTGATCAAAGTGTGACATTCACACACTTGGAAGGTAACACTCTATAATATGTAGAAAACTGCTTACAAGTATTCTGTGGCCCTGTTTTAATTCTCCTTTTGTTATTAATTCAATATACAGTATTTATGTTAATTCTTACATTGTTCTTTCAAACGATATAAATACAGAATATACCACAATGATACAGGATTTACAAAAGGGTACATAGCACACTGTAGCTTATAAGTTAGGAAGATTGTGTTTTTATTTGACTTCTTTTCTTCTTGAGATTGCACAACAATGCCCTTTTCAGATATGATGACAACATCTGGACCCTCCACCCATATATAATGTGACTTAAAAATCTGTGTAAAACATGGACAAAGAGGAAATTTGTAAATTTTAATTGAGACATAAACATAGGAAAGAGAGAGGTGAAGAAGCTTTCAAATGGCAGGCCAATGTATTTGAACATACACAGCACAAGTTGCAACCCATGTAAGATGATAGTGTTGCAAGCCTTCCTGGCATGTGAGCCAGCAGCCTTGGCAGCAAAAATGATCCTGAAGTACGTATGCACCAAAGTAAGCCAGACAAACAATAGGTAGACCAGATGTGAGATGTTCTTTTTCTCCACCAGATATGGGTGGCGGAACACGGAGTCTTGTGCAGATGATTGGAGAATAAAAGAATTCTGAGGGTTCAGTGGCTACAACAATGGACAGATCTGGGAGAATGGGAATTGAACCCAGGTGCCAGAATAGGCCAATCACAGTACAGATCTGGCTGTGATCTGATGGTTTGCAGATAGCTACGTATTGTTCTAAGGCCATACCACCAAGATTTAGTGAAGTGTTGAAGGTGGTGAACACTGCAATCATTAAAATGAAGCGACAGAAAAAGACATTAATTGTATTAAAAATATAAGATAAGATGTACCTTTATTGATCCCCCGTAGGGGAAATTCAGTTGACACAGCAGCACAAGTAGGAGGAGTAACATCAAAGAAAAGAAAAGAATTTCCATAAATATCTGTACAATAGAAATAATAGAAACAATAAAATAGATCTGTGTACGTATGCTAGAGTTCTATTTGTATATGGACATGTGCAATATCCTTGGCATTTATATACATGTGCAATATCTATGGAATGACAATTAACTGTTGAGTGTGTGTATTTGTGAGACTCAATGGAGTAGGAGGTACTGGGTATTGTGGCATTGTAGAGTCTGATGGCTGATGGCACGAAAGAGGCCTCCAGACGTTTTGAGGCATGTGGCCAGATGAATCTGTGGCTGAACGTGCTCCTAAGCCTACTCAGATCAGCATAGAGGGGATGAGAAGGATTGTCCATGATAGCTTTCACCTTCCCTCTCATCCTCTTCTCAGTCACTGCCTCCACACTGTCCAGTTCCATCCCCACCACAGAGCTGGCCTTGCTCACCAGCTTGCTCAGTTTGTTGGCACCACCATTCCTAATGCCAATTCAGCAGCACAACACACCAAAGAAGATAACACTGGCCACCACAGACTGGTAAAACATCCGTAGAAGCCTAGTGCACACATTAAAAGCCTGAGCCTCCTCAGAAAGAACATCCTGCTCTGACCTTTCCTATAGAGGGCCTCAGTGTTGTCTGACCAGTCCAGTTTGTTGTTGAGTTGCACCCCTCGGAACCTGTAGCTGTCCACTATCTCCACTCCCTCTCCCTTATGGCGACAGGTGTGGGAGGCGTCTTGATGCGCTGGAAGTCCACCGCCAGATCCTTGGTTTTCCGAATGTTGAGCTGAAGGTGGTTGTTGTCACACAAACCTATGAAGCTTTCAATAAGCTCTCTGTACTCCTCATCATCATCTTTGATACAGGCAACAATGGACAAGTCATCTGAGAACTTCTGTAGATGGCACGTTCCCGAATTGAAGCAGAAGTCAGAGGTGTAGAGGGTGAACAAGAAAGGTGACAGTACAGTTCCCTGGGGCGCACCAGTGTTGCTAGTCACCAAGTCTGACAAGCAGCCTTGCAGCCTGTCATACTGCGGCCTGTCGGTGAGGTAGTCTGTAATCCAGGCCATGAGGTCCTGGTGAACCCGTATCACAGAGAGTTTCTCAGCCAGCCGGAGTGGCTGGTCAATGTTAAAAGCACTTCAGAAGTCAACGAACATGATCCGCACAGTACTTTGTGGCCTCTCCAGGTATATAAAATAAGTTGAAGCATAACATTTGTCAACTGTATCATGTCATTCACATCCATAGAGTGTATGAAGAGGATGTAATGAGGATTCTCATTGAAGATCTCGTATCTGAAAAAGGTATGGACAATTGTACCATTAGTGTAGTTGATGGTAAAGTATAAAACCACGAGTATAACATTCTTGGTCACAGCCATGAGGTATCCATCCCTCTCTTAGTTTGGGTGATGTTGCTGTACATGTAGGAGTTCATCGCTTACTGCTTTCACCACAAGTGGTTGTCTGCCTTTGAAGCAGTCTGTTAAAAATACAAAAGAGAACATTGTTGATATTTATTCATTACCAGACCATATTTGATCTAATATTCTAGACATTTCTACTGTACCACTATAACATGTAGCACATGTAGTTTTTTGACAATAACATTTTTCTGATCCCCTTTCATATAATTTTAATCAAAAATACCTGGTAGCATATATCCTTATATGATATGATCCTCTGTATTATAAAAAAATAACCATCATGTCTGTAGATTTTGTATTTAGCTTTTGTGTCCTTACCTCTTAACTAGGTAAATCTACATACATGAAATGTCTTCCATACAGGTGTTTATATGGAGTCAGGACAAGAGGGTCAGTCTGCTTACATATTCTTGGAAAATATTGACACAACACATGATGGAAATCTTCCACTTGCATAATTTCATTAATAAACCATTCCCAATTTAGGAGGTCTCATGCAGCAGTGAGAATATTGACTATGAATAACTATGTTGACCCTGAATAAGCTTGGATGAATGAAGGTGCTAGTTAATAGGTTCATTGTCTGGCAACACTGGATTGAGCATCAAATTACTTTTTCAAAGATCACAAAGATCACAGAACACAAAGGTATTTTTAATTTTCCACTTGTTCATGAACCAAAGACAAAAGGTCCATGCATTTA